ACAGAGCCCTGTCTGTCTTGTCTCCTGGGAACAGTCACACGGAATCATCAGCAATGAGTTCAAAAGGCAATCAGGTTTCTGGCATGCTCTATTGGTCCCTTCCCAGACTGGTCTCCGGGTGCCCCCAAAGAGCAGGCACAGGATTTCCCCCAAATTAAAGGGCTCCTGTGAACCCTTGAGATGCATGGCAACAGCTGCTGAGGTACAGTGTCGTGCTTTTGGGGGAGGAGCCTCCTATCACAACAGCTAGATAGTGGAATTTTAAAATGGTAACTTAGAAAAAAAAAAAAAAACGCACAGAGCCAAGGCTGTCCCTGTAAGTGCCGAGAGTCTGGCTCACCGTTCAGTGAGCACTCTTCAGTTAGCGAGAAGAGGTGAAGTTATAACTGGTGCACTAGGGATCGCTCAAAACTGTTCTCCCTGAAGGCAGGTGTTACATACACAAGGGAGCGTCATTCCTCCTGCATAGTGTGGCCGAAAAAAGATGGAGAGCACTGCGCTAGCCTGTGAGGCTTTCTGGCAAAGACAGCAGAGCAGGTGGAGTGCTTCACAGTTTGGTAAAGCTTTCCCCCAGGGATGATCTCTTTAACCTGTCAAATAATCTTGAGGGGTTGGCATCATTCTGCTTTCTTTACAGACGACAGAATGGAGGATCACACCTACGAGTTGAACACAGGGCATAAAAAGGAGGACCTACGCTGTTTCAGCTTCAGCCAAAGTCAATCAACACATACCAAGTATCGCCACAGCCCGATGGTGTTAGACCTTCCACGCAGACTCTGGAAACCGGTTTCGTGAGCGGTAGCTCGAGACTCACCCCTGGCCAAATGCCAGGAGCTGGGAGGTGGAAGAGGCAGAGAGTGAGGACTGTTTGGGAGAGCTGTGAGTGCGCCACGTTCTGACCCCAGTGGGAAGAACAGGGGGAGCTTCCTACTCACCGATGGAATAACGATAGAGGGACTTCAAGACAGCCACTGGCAGAGCTGGATATGCCCCTGAAGTTTAGGGGGCACAGGGGCTAGTGCCAGATGCTTGCTGGGAGAAATCAAAACCTCAGAGGCTCGCTGGGTCTGGCAGAGCAAAACGGGAGAGCAGGCTACACTGGAGTGAGCTGCTGTTCTACCAACAATGGGACCTTTAAATGCGTGTGGCTCCCTTGGGCCAAATGAAGGCCCTTTGCTGAGAAACCAGCCTAAAGTCATTTTATAAATGATTCTATCCAAGGGTCAGCCTAGAGGAACAATGCAGTCCTACAGAGGGGATACCCAGGGGTTGAGCATGGGTCAAATGGGACCAAGGCGGGGAGGCACCCCCCATCCAAGGTGCCGACCAGGGACGTCCAAGAACCTGCGAAAGGTCCCTATGGGAGAATGAGTTGGCACTAGATGTCTGTCCCATGCAGAGGGCATTGCTCCAGGTCCTAACTGTACCAGGCCAGCCAAACATTTGCCGTCCCTAGCACCTCCTCTCTGCCCACAGGGCGGGACCCTAAGTGGATCTGAAGCAGAGCTAAGAAGTAGGAGAGAAGATGAGAGAAGGTGGAGTGAAGGAAGAGAAACAGGACCGTGTCCGGTCCACCTCTGCAGGCTGTGAACCCGAGGCACTGCAGAGCTGGGAGGAGAAGCGCTACTTAGAGTAGGATTGGGAGGGCTTCCCTGGTGGCGCAGTGGTTAAGAATCTGCCTGGCAATGCAGGGGACACAGGTTCGAGGCCTGGTCCGGGAAGAGCCCACATGCCGCGGAGCAACTAAGCCTGTGAGCCACAACTACTGAAGCCTGCATGCCTAGAGCCCGTGCCCTGCAACAAGAGAAGCCACCGCAATGAGAAATCCGCGCACCACAACGAAGAGTAGCCCCCGCTCGCCGCAACTAGAGAACGCCCGCACGCAGCAACGAAGACCCAATGCAGCCATTAAATAAATAAATAAATAACATATAACATAAATCTGTTAAAAAAATAGAATTGGGAATTTTGATGTTACACTGGCCTGGAGCTATGAGATTATTTAACTGGATTGGACTTGTCATTGTCTAAGAGCGTCTGAAGAAGCCATGGCACCCAAGGAGCCATGCTAGCCATAGGAGGAAGGGGTGCAGGGGAAGAATAAAGTTGAGGTTTACTTGAGCTTGTCAAGCCCAGCTCATTGAATAACATGGTTATATTCATTTTAGACGGCCCCAGGGTGCAGTAATTTGCGTCTTTGGTATGTAGCATCTGCACAACGTCTAGGGCAGCTCTCATCTGAGGCCGGCACGACCAGATCGCCCTTGTAGGGAGGAGCTGCTACCCGGGAGCAGATCTTTTTTTTTTTTTTTTTTTTTTTTTTGCGGTACGCGGGCCTCTCACTGCTGTGGCCTCTCCCGTTGTGGAGCACAGGCTCCGGACGCGCAGGCTCAGCTGCCATGGCTCACGGGCCCAGCCGCTCCGCGGCATGTGGGATCCTCCCGGACCGGGGCACGAACCCGTGTCCCCTGCATCGGCAGGCGGACTCTCAACCACTGTGCCACCAGGGAAGCCCCGGGAGCAGATCTTGTACCCGGAGCACAGCAGCTCTGGACCATCTGCCCACACCAGGGCCCGCGGAAGTGCGCCAGCCTGGAGGGCACCTGGCCCAGGCCTCATACTTACTCTTCTGATGTGAACACTTAATAAGGATAAATACACAGTTGCAGAAATATCTCGACAGGACCCATCTTTAAACCTGTGGCCCACTTCTGGCTCTATACTGTAAAGAATTCCGTCAAAAACCCAAAATCCTAAACCTATTTTGTGAATGGTACAATCATATTTCTTATTTCTTGTTAGGAATGCTGCCCCACTAGTAAATCCCATTGGGGCATTTTGCCACTTTTTTTTCATGTACCGGGAACCTCTAAATATGGAAGTGGTCTGGACCATCCTGACCTCTGAGAGGCTCTGCTGTAAGCCTCTGGTCGTCCTTTGGTTGCCTAGCAACTGAAACCCTTCCCGTGTTTAGGAAACTCCCACATACAAACCTTGAATCTTGGTGAGAAGATTCTCACCAAGCTCCCACTGGAGAAGCTGATAGTTTTGGGCCCTTATTTTCTGAGCAGCCCTGCTACGTTTAGCCCAAATTCTGAATCTGAGGCTACAAAGTGGTACAGAAAAGGAGGGCAGTATGGTGTGAACAGAATGTGGCTCTGGGGCCCAAGGTTTTCAGTGTGTGTGTGTGTGTGTGTGTGTGTGTGTGTGTGTGTGTGTGTGTGTGTGTGTGTTTGGGGGAAGGGCTCCTGTATCCTTATTGGACTGGGTCAGAGGCATGAATTTTAATGTGGTCCTAGCTGCAGAGCTTCATTTATTCTCCAAGCCTGGTTCTCCAGCCTTGCTGACAAGTCTCTAAGTTATCCAACATCTTATCAGATAATCCCTAAATTAGGTAGAGTTGGCCTCTGTTGCTTCAGTTAAGAGCCATCACTGAGACACCGTCCAGCACAATGATTATGAGCTAAGAAAGCCTGCATTCTATCGAGAGATCCTCAACCCATTAGTAATCAGAAAAATGGGACGGCGTTAAAACAGCAAAGAGACACTGCTTGAAATCCATTCACCTGGCAAAAATGCAGAAACTGGATAAAGCAAAGTCTGGCTGGGGATGTGGTTCAGAGATCCAACGGCTGTGAGGCTGGTAGCTCTGCCCTTTTTTTTTTATGCCTACTTTGGGCCTCTCCACTCTCCCACCTGGGGCAGCTCAACAGAAGAGAAGGCATTGGCCGAGTGGTGTGGGCCGCACTGCTGGCCACTTACATGGACTGGCTCACCTTCATTAATCATAAGGGTTCACTGTGACAAGCAGCATAGCTCATAATAAGTGCCCAATAAATATTAGCTATGAATATTTTTTCTTGCTTTTGATTTATTTTTTGAGTAAGATTACACACACACACACTCAGAAAAAAACATATTTTTTTACAGTACAAAGCCTACATGGAGATAGGTAAGTTTCCCTTCTACCCCGATACCCAGTTCCCCTTCCCAGAGACACACCACTGTGAACAGTTCCATGGGTATCCCTTCCCCCAATCTACTCCTCACCCGGCGTCCAGAGAGATCCTTAGGAAATCTGAAACAGGTTACATCACACCTCTGCCCACCATACCCTGGATGTCACTCTACATCCTGACCCCGGCCGCAAGGTCCCACACACTCTGGGCCCTGCCCACTGCCCTGACTCTATGCCCACGACTCTCCCTCTCTCAGGCCCCTTGCAATCGCTCTGGCCTCCCCGACCTCCTCTGACACACTGTGGCTCATCTCGGAGCTTGCCTGGAACGACCCCCGACGTTCTTACACCTCATACTCTTCTTTCTTGCAGGGCTCTGCTCAACTATCACTTCCTCTGAGAGCCCTTCTCGGACCGCCCTCACTCTCTGCCCCCTTACTCTGCTTTTCCAGTCTCTGTCTTCCTTCTTAGAGCCAGCCAGGCCCCCAGCTTGAGGTTACGTTATCTGTTTATCAATCTGTTGCCTGTCTTGCCTCGATAATACGTCAGCTCCGGGAAATAAGGTTTGTTCACAGCTGATTCCCTAGCATCAACGAGTGCTGTTACCTGGGGGGTCTCAGGAAGGACTCACTGAGTGAGTGTGTGGGTGTATGTCCCTTCTCTCTTACAGCTCACTATTCTCACACCTTGCTTTTTCTCATCTAACCATACACCGGGGAGTCAGATCTACATTGGCATAAGTAGACCTGTCTCATTATTTGTAACAGATGCTGGGTATTTCAACTGATTGGGTGCCCCATAGTTTTTTTTGTGTGTGTGGTACGCGGGCCTCTCACTGTTGTGGCCTCTCCCGTTGCGGAGCACAGGCTCCGGACGCGCAGGCTCAGAGGCCATGGCTCACGGGCCCAGCCGCTCCATGGCATGTGGGATCTTCCTGGACCGGGGCACGAACCCGTGTCCCCTGCATCGGCACAGACTCTCAACCACTGCGCCACGAGGAAAGCCCGCCCCATAGTTTTTATTTAACCAGACTCTTTGCTGATGGACATAGGTTGTTCCTAGTCTTTTATTATCACAGAACAAACAAAAAACACTGTGACGAATATACTTCTTTGGACACATGAAGAAGTATATCCATATAATAAACTCATGAATGTCAACTATTGGATCAGATGGTATTGGATTTTTCATTTTGAGAGATGTCATTAAGTTGCACCCCCCCAGAGAAGTGTCCCAAGTAACAGGGGGAGAGAGAGGTGTAGGAGATGAGGTCAGAGAGTGATGGGTGCAGGAAGCCAACACAGTTGAACTTGGAGGCTACTGTAAGGACTAGGGCTTTGATGAGTAAGATGGGGAGACTGTGGGATTTTGAGTAGAGGAGGGACAGACCTACTCATGTTTTAAAATGATCATTCTGGCTACCGTGTGGAAAGCACACTGAAGGGGACAACAGAAGCAAAGGGACCAAACAGGAGATAATGAAGGAACACAGGTGAGAGATGGTGATGACAGCCTGACTGGGGTGGTACAGTAAATGCAGTGATTTGGGATACATTTTGAAGATAGAGTGGAAAGGACTTGCTGACGGAGTAGTCAAAGCCTGAGAGATATATCTGAAGAGTCAAAGGTATCTCTCGGGATTGGGGCCTGAGCAACCGGAATGATGGGTGGCGAGGTCTAGGCAACCTGGGGTCCCACTCCTGAGGTGCTGGAAGTGAGGGCCTGGGCAGGCACCAGCTGGGCAGGTGGAGGCATCTGGGGAAACTCAATTTCCTTACAGATGAGGTTTCCTGATCTTAGACTGTTCCTGTGGTTTCAAAGGAGGTCCATCGAACTGCAGTGAGCTAAGCTGTCCTGGGGCCCAGCTTGAACGAGAGCAGTGACTAACTCTAGCCCAGTTCCCTGGTTGGGCCCACGTTCCTCATTTCTCTTTGCTTCCCCTGTTTGCACGTGCTGGGCTGAACACTTCTGTTCCCTATCATCTTAAAACGTTTCCCAGTCACTCCATTTTTAGCAGCCCCTTATCTGACTGTCACCCCACCTGTTGTCGCAGGTTGCTGAGGAGGGCAGTGGTGGCTCTGTGTTGTCAAGGTGTCAGGAGGGCTCTGAACCAGAAGGGAGCTGTCAGATTCTGACTGGCTGCAGAAGCTTATCGGGACATATCAAAGCCCCGGAGAGGAAGGTAAGATCAACAGATGAGACACCGTCATCCAAGGTCAAACAGCTCCAGATGACGCAACACTCTCAGGCTCACCCCCGCGTCCTCTTACACAGCCCAGAGAACAAGCAGCCCCACCTGTCTTCCAGGCTCAGCCACACTGGCCCCTGACACAGCGAGCTTGTTCCCATCGCAGGGCTTTGGTACTTGCTGTCCCCTCTAGCTGGAATGCTCTCCACACGGCTGGTTCCTTCTCACTGGTTCAAATATCCCTCCTCAGCCCAAGCCTGTCCTGACAGCCTTACCTAAAGAAAACCCTAGGCCAGACTCTCTCTCTAGGTTTCCTTGTTTGTTTCCTTCCTTTACTTGAAATCCCCTGGTTTGTGTGTTTACCTGTTTAACTCTGTGTCTTGTTCACTCATGTCCCCAGCACCCATGCACAGGGTTAGGGCTCAGGACCTTTGATGACTGGGAAGCGGAACTCTGGTGAAAGGTATGGCATCGTGGAGAGGAAGCTCGCATGCATACATTTGTGTGAATCACTCTGAGGTTTACTTGGTTGAGCTGGACTTGAGATGCTGCACTGCCCGCTCCCACGATGCAGCTGTGTGCGGTCACTGAAGCTTTGTGATTCTGTAAAACAACTTAGTCTGAATTCCCCTGAGACTCCAGCACCAGTGATGTCCCAATACTGGTGACTTGGGCCACAGAATGGAGACAAAAGAGAGAAGGCAAAAAGCACAGGTTCTGACCTATTCTTTGCTTGTATCATCAGCTAGTAAGCTCTTACAGGCACATCCAACTTCCATCCTTTCACTCCACAAGTATTTGAGTGCCTATTATATGCAAGGGACTATGCTAGGTTTTTTCCTAAGGACAGACTTCAAAATAGTCATTTCCAGAAGAGCCAATCGTACCTAGACTCAATACTAACATCCCATGAGAAGGAGTGGGGTCACCCCAGGAGGCACCGCCCTTTTCTAAGCTGAAAGGGGGTTTCCCGAGAGATTCCTGACCTGGGAATCAGCTATGCATGGCTGGGGATGCAGATGGAGAAAAGAGGCCCCTCCCTTAGCATTTTAAGATAATGAGAGCAGCCCTATCTGGCAATCTTGACCTTTCCAGTAAGTTTCTGTTGCCAATCAAATGCAGATAGTAAAACGGCACAAATCACTTTGGTAGAGAACTAGAGATAATTATGTTGCCTTCGTCTCCTGTGTATCATACTGAAATGTACACACATGTCACGCATGGCCTAATAATAAGTGTACTGGTCAGATGAATGACCACAGTGAACACATTCATTTAAATAAATTGTAAAGAAAAGAAACATTTACCATCTTATTTTGTGCTTTCTATTTTCCTCACCTTTTAATATTTCTTTTTTTTACTTCCCTTGCCATCCTTTGGGATTAAGTTGTTTTATTTCTTTTCATTTCTCATATCATTCTCATGTTGATTTCTCACATCACTGACTTGGATATTTTATGTCCTGTTTTATTACTTTACTGGTTATTTTAGATATTTTAATATATTAGGGGCTTCCCTGGTGGTGCAGTGGTTGAGAGTCCACCTGCCGATGCAGGGGACACGGGTTCGTGCCCCGGTCCGGGAAGATCCCACATGCCACGGAGCGACTGGGCCCGTGAGCCATGGCCGCGGAGCCTGCGCGTCCGGAGCCTGTGCTCCACAACAGGAGAGGCCACAACAGTGAGAGAACCACGTACCGCAAATAAATAAATAAATAAATAAATAAATAAATAAATAAATAAATAAATATTAGGAGTGCCTTAGTTGCTTCCTCCCTTTCTTTCTTCTCCCCTTTAAATAGCACAAATTGAGGAAAAACCAATCCAGATGGCATCTAACTATGTGAATCTAGTAGAGCAGCTCTCAAAATGTGGTCTGGAGACCCCCTGGGGGGCCTAGAGATCGTTTCAGTGATCTGTGGGATCAAAACTATTTTCATAATGATATTAAGATACTAATTCCTTTTTTTTAATCTCATTCTCTCACAAATGAATGTACAATGGAGTTTTTCAGAGACTACCTGACGTGATATCACAACGGACTGAATGAAGAACAGATATGAGAAAACAGCTGCCTTCTATTAAGCTAGACATTAAAGAGATCTGCAAAAATGTAAAACAATGCCACTCTTCTCAGTAGTTTTTTTTTTGAAAACAAGTTATTTTCATGGAGATATGCTATTTATATTAACATATAATGGTCTTACGATTATTATTTTTAAATAAATTAATACATATTTAAAAAATAAAAGTCTTAATTTCTAATATGGTAAATGTCAATAGCTTTCGTAAATGTCAACATCTAAAATCTATAAAAATGTAAAAAGTCTCTTTGGGGTCCTCAGTAATTTCTAAGAGTATGAAAGGGTCCTGAGATCAACAAGTTTGAGAACTGTTGGTCCAGTAAGATGACCAACATGCTCGTTCTGATGAATGCAATTGCACAGACATAAAACATCATGCTACTTGGTGTTTAAGCATCTAATGATTCAAAATTTCATAGTTAAAGTTTAATGCCACTTAAACTTTCATAGACGTGAGTTTAAAGTCTGCCTGGTGAAATGCAAAGCTTTTTGATGTATTAAGTGAGATGTAAAAACCAGAACAATTCTATCACAAGATAGAAAGTAACAAAACTGGTTTAGATAAATAATTTATAATTGCTCTGCACAGGCCAACATGTTCATCACTTTATGCTAGTCAAGAATCTTGTTCTAAAGATTTTTTGCACTGGAGTTTTTCTTTTTGTTTTATGGGACAGGATTACTTCACCTTCATTTAGGTGGTGATATGCTGTTCTAAAATATAGATAGAATTTCTGATCTTAGAAGTTATATTACCTGGAGGAAGGGGAAGGCTCAATACTAATTATACTTGCCAGTGTCATCCTGAAAAAAACTGTACATTTGATTTTTTGTCAGCAAAGGTTAAAGAAAGGGGTTAAAGGATTAAAGAAAGGGGACTTCCCTGGTGGTCCAGTGGTTAAGACTTCACCTTCCAACGCAGGGGGTGCAGGTTCAATCCCTGGTCGTGGAGCTAAGATTCCACATGCCTCGTGGGCAAAAAAACAACAAAACAAACCCCCCATAAAACAGAAGCGATACTGTAACAAATTCAATAAAGACTTTAAAAATGGTCCATACCAAAAAAAAATCTTAAAAAAAGTATCCTTAAAAAAAAACGATTAAGAAAAGCTCATCAGGGTAAAATTTATGAGCATACTTAGTGTGCTTTACGCGTGGGAGGTTTGCAAAGCCACAGTGAAAGCCCCTATTTTGCAGTTAGAGTACTTGATAACATCTAGTTCATATAATCTAGCTCAATGCAACTACTGTTGCACCTGCTGATAAAATAAATAATTCCTGGGGCATTGTGCAGTGTATTATCGTTTGGCAAATATAAAATTATGTTAAACATGTACTTTCAAGCCACCCACTCCATCCTGCTTGCATAATGTCCCTCTGAGATCTTCACCAGCTCACCTGGCAGAGGCTATATGCCCCCATCCCCACTTAGCTGGAGAACCGATGGCTTACGGGAAGTCTACAAAGAGCCCAACTCTAGCATTTACAATATCACCCCCATGAGGAAGCCCTGCCACAGGGGCAGGGTGCAGAGTGATAAGAGGAAGGCGGGGAAGAGTGAAATGATTTGTGGACTTGAAGATTTTCTACCAGCATTGACAACGCCGCCTCGAACATCCTTGCACGTGTCTCTTCGTACACTTGTGGGAAAATTCCTCAAAGGAGGGAAATACTGTGAGCCCTGGCATCCGCATCTTCAGTTTCAGCAGAAACTGCCAACTACTCTCCAAAGTGAGAGCATAAATCCAGCTCTTTCTGCAAAGCAAAAAAAGAGACTCATAGTACAGAAACCCCACTACCACTACCGCCTTCCTTCCCACGAGCTCTTCTTCCAACTCTGGGCTCGTAGTCAACATAAGGTCATGACTGGGAGGGAACAGACCAGGCATGCACTACCTGCCAACAGGAAAAGGAGCTCAGATGAGGCCTGAGACCCTCAAAGTAACCCAGTGGATTGGCATATGCACCAGACAAACACATGGCATGTACGTGTATATGGACTATGCGTGTATGTCCATATACATATATACACATGGGCAAAGTGGGGCAGAGAACCTTTCCAGGCCCCTGGGGTAAAGGAGAGTGGTCCCTCTCCCCATTCCTCATCTTTCTTAACCAAATCCAGATTGTTAGGAACATTCAAGGAGAGCATAAAGGTAGAATGATACAATTAAATGTAGCAGAGAGGGGTTTCTCCCCCCATTCTGTTGTTTATATGGGAAGTGTACCTGTGCTGGGGAGAAATGGTGACTGGAAGAAAGTCTGGGTCCTGGAGGAGAGCTCAGATTGACAATGGAGTAAAAGGAAAATAAGATGCTGGGATTCTGAGGGAGGATCTAGCGGGGTGGCAGTGTCAAGCGTCCTGGTTCGTGGGGATGAGAACGTAGCCTCTGTTGTTTCTGGGCCATATAACATGGGCCCAGACAAGACACAGTTCCTGTGGAACCGTGAAGCATAATCTATCCTGTATTTATGTGTTTTTGTCAAATGGCTTCCAAGGAAACTGGAGTCATCTTGGATCGATGTGGTTTAAGCAGAGCTGAGGTGGGGAAAAGGCAGAGGTGATGCAGAGTCAGGGGACGGGACACTGGGAGACAGAATCAGAGGCCCTGCCTGCACACAGTGACGGGCTGTGTCAGGACCCCAGCCCTCTGGGGACAGTTGAACACGTGGCCCCACTTTCTTCTTAGGTACTCATGTGTCTAGGGATTCTAGAGTGGTTTTGTGAGACAGGGCTGAGGAATAGCCAATTCAATTGGATTCTGACTAGGGAAGACAGACCAAACAAGGAGTGAGGGCAGGGGCAGGGACAGGAGTACGTGAGCAAACTCATATGCAAGTTCGTTTGGTTAGCCCAGGAAAAGATGTAACACAGGATATCTGAATTATGAAAGCGGAACCACATGTGAAAGAATAATCATGGCTTGAGATCTAGAGAAGATAAATTAGATTTGTGGAAACAGAGTTTGGGGGGAAACGGGGCTGAGTGACCTGAGAAAGAGCTCAACTCTTGAACTTCCCCTTCCTGACACATTGCAAGTTCAAGCGTAAATGTTCTTGGCTCCTGGGAGACCCTGAGATGGCAGAAAGTACCTGTGTCTCTGCACCTTGTTCCACAAGTTGGTAAATGTCCATTCAGGGCTGAACTCTGAGAGCCATCTGCTCGGGAATGGGATAAGGCTAGTCATCCAAAACACAGAGCAAGTGCCTGGGAGAAAGCACCTTAACATCTGACCCAGAAAAGGAAAAGGATGAGAGGCCCAAGTGACCCAGGGTCACCCAGTTGGGGCACAAGGTGAGGAGTTCACTGCCAGTGGACGGGTGAAGCCAGACTAGGAAAGGTCAAGAAAACTGAGTGAGGACTTGAGATAAACTGGTGGAGGGATTACATAAATTGAGGTGGGGAGGCACCTAGCAGAACTGGTCTTCCTCGTCAGAGTACGGAAACGCCCTGGTATTCAGCTGGCCTATATCTAACGGTCCTTACCTCTGTGCTGAGCCTGTTTCCTTTGTGGTGACCAGCTGTGAGTGGATACCTGGAGTTTTGCCTGGCAAGCATCCTTTCCTCCTTCTTCTGGTAACAGCATCCCACTTTTCCTTTAGTCAATCACTCCTTCTTTCCTCTCAGTCCATGTGGCATGGGGTGGGGGGTTGGGGGTAAAAGGCCGGCTCTAAACCAGCTGCAGGGGAGGGCCTGCCACCCAGACTTGGGTTCATGCCCAAGCCAGTCCATCCAGAGTCAACCATTTCTAGATTCTTCTGGAATGATTTGGAAAGAGGCACACTCTTTCCACAGGGTTGTTAGGCTGCTAAAACGTAATCTTGGAACTTTGGGGAGCCACCTTGGCCACTACTTGGAAAGGGCCTGCCTGAGAATGAAGCTGGCATAAGAAAACAAGCTAAGACATGGAGACACATGACCAACAGCTTCATTTAAGCACCTGGATCGGGCCATTCCTGAAGCAGCTTTGCCCCAGACTCTTCAATTCCATAACCAAAACTTCCCATTTTTCCTTAATCAGCCTGGGCAAGTTTCTGTCCCTTAGAACCAAGATATTAATACAAACAGTTGGTAAATAATCTGTCACCAATAATGAAGAATGGATGTTTCTGAAATATATCTTTTATGATATTTCAAAAATAAATGAGAGCAGAGTTGAAGCTATCTTTCTCGTAATTTCACCAACTCATTTGCATTTGGACATGCAAGGGTTAGAGGCAAAGCACACGGACAAGGAACGGCTCATAGTCCTGGGCCTGCTGGGGACTGCCTTCGCTGCTCTAATACATCAGATACTTGGTTAACAACAATAACTTAAATCAGAAGAAGTGTGTTCTGCAGGGTTTTTAAAAATAAATTTATTTATTTATTTTTTTTGGCTGCGTTGGGTCTTCGTTGCTGCGTGTGGGCTTTCTCTAATTGCAGCGAGCGGGGGTTACTCTTTGTTGCGGTGCGTGAGTTTCTCGTCGCGGGGGCTTCTCTTGTTGCAGAGCACAGGCTCTAGGCATTCGGGGTTTCAGTAGCTGTGGCACACGGGCTCAGTAGCTGTGGCTTGCAGGCTCTAGAGCTCAGGCTCAGTAGTCGTGGCGCACGGGCTCAGTTGCTCCGCGGCATGTGGGATCTTCCCAGACCAGGGCTCGAATCCTTGTCGCCTGCGTTGGCAGGTGGATTCTTAACCACTGCGCCACCAGGGAAGTTCCTGTTCTGCAGTTTTAAAAGTGTTTCCACACATATAATCACAACTGAGTCATAAGATAATCACTGAAGTTGGTTTTTTATGCCTTTTTCATCAGCGAGGCTCCAAGGTCCAGAGAAGCTAAGTAGCTTCCTCAAAGATATACAGCCAGGCAATGTTCACACCTGAACCAGAATCTATGTTGATCCTCCAGGTCCAGTGCTCCTTTTACTCCACCAGCTTCCTGAAAAGACAGGAGCCGGTGGGTGGGACTCAGAGACAGCAGTACAGAATTTTGTCCAACATCCACTGGGTGTGCTGCAAGGAACACTAAAGGGCTAAATGTTAGGATCCTGGGAAGGGAAATGAGTCTGCTGGGGCCTCTGCCTGGGTCGCGGAGAACAGGGAATATTATAGAGAACTTCCTGTGGGCTTGGCACTGTTCTAAAGGTTTCACATGCTCTAAACCATGATGCTAGCTCTCCCAAAAGGCTCTCGCTGCAAGGTGTCAGGAAGAAAAAGGCGCACTCCTTTCTCCAGAGATGGAGACACCAGCCCGCATCCTTATTTGTCTTTCATTCCTTCATTCAGCTATATGTACAGAGTATCTGCTCCACGTCAGGCCTTGCTCAAGGTGCGGGGAATACTATGGTCAACGAGACAGAGAAGCTACCAGCTCGCACGAGGTTTACGTTCTGGAAGTGCCCTGGAGTTGGAGGATACTGGTACATCCTTTCAGGTCTAGCCTTTGGACTCTCCAGGAATGAGATGCACGTTAGACGATTACTATGTGACCAAACTAATAAAAGACTCCAGGGACTTCCCTGGCGGTCCAGTGGTTAAGACTCCGCATTTCCGTTGCAGGGGTCTCAGGGTTGATCCCTGGCTGGGGAACTAAGATCCTGCATGCTGCGCAGTGCGGCCAAAATAATAATAATAGGGCTTCCCTGGTGGTGCAGTGGTTGAGAGTCCGCCTGCCGATGCAGGGGACATGGGTTTGTGCCCCGGTCCGGGAGGATCCCACATGCCGCGGAGCGGCTGGGCCCGTGAGCCATGGCCGCTGAGCCTGCGCATCCGGAGCCTGTGCTCTGCAACGGGAGAGGCCACAACAGTGAGAGGCCCGCGTACCGCAAAAAATAAATAAAATAAAAATGCTTGTTTGCTTAACCTGAAAGCATGCCTACGTGTGTGTTTCTAATTATTAGGCACAACAAAGGGCTTTTACCGGAGCATCATAAAACCAAGCCTGCGACCTGAGCAGCACTTCTCAGTCACCAGGAAGTGTCGACAAACAAAATGATTTCAGATCTTGGTAAAACACGACGAAGAAAACACAACGGAGTATTGTAATAAGGAGGAGAGGACGCCTTTAGATGGAGCTGTCAAGACAGGGCTTCCTGAGGAAAGACAGAGAAGTAATCAACTATTGACTTTCTGCCAACGGCACGGCGATCTTGGTAAAAGCCTGACCCCGGAGCAGAGCCAGATGAGGAGAGGCAGCTCCAGCTCTGCCGCCTCGCTAGGAGCCTGGAGACTTCCTTTTGGAGGCCGCCACCCTCTCGCTCAATAAAAAGTCAGAGTAAAGTGAAGTTCTTAGGTGTCTGCTCGTGCTCTGGGAAGGGCCTTTGATGGCATGGAGTGGAAGGACTCAGGAGAGGGCCACGCTGTTGGGGACAAGGCAAGGGGCTCACTTCCAAGAGATGGACGGAACCAGGGAGGGGGAAGAGAGGAGGGTTAGCGAGATGCTGATGGGAATACTGCACAGTGCTGAACGGGGCTAGCGTGAGGCAGAGGAGACTGACAAGGTCATGGCCACGAGGCAGAGAGACATCGTTTCTGCTCCTTGGAACTTCTGACTCAAGCTGTCCACATTCTCTCTGCTGAGCAAGAGAGGAACGGGAGAAGTTGCCGTTGGAATGCTCTGGGAGTTTGTCCAGCACGTGAGCATGACCTGTCCCACGTGTGGCCACCGGAAAAAAGTTGAGGATCACTCCAGGAAGGAGTTTACTTGTCTGGTTACAATTTACAATAGAGGACTATTTCAGTCTCGTGAAGTGTTTTTGCAAATGTTCCCTCACTTACTCCCCCAAACAATCCTGCTCTATTCACACAGGGCTACAACCCACAAGGAAGCCCAGAGAGGTTAAGCGACTCCCCAGGACCTCACAGCTGATCCAGACAGAGCCCACATGGGAATCCAGCCTGTCTCCCCGACTGCCTGGCTGACATGCCTGAGCTCTACCTTTGGAAGTTTCAGGAGGGAACCAGGCTAAAAGTCGTTCAGAGTGGCCAGCTCCCTTTCGACCTCCCCTTCTGCCTCTGGTCCCTGTGTTCACAACTGAGACTTACAGTTTCACATGAGCACCAGGTGTCCAGAACAGGACTGTGAACTTGAACAACATCACAAAGCCACTGGACCTACTCTTCCTCTGGGACAGTGGCTCTCAAACCTTAGCGTGCACCAAAATCTCCTGAAGGGCTGGTTAAGAGACAAATCGCAATGCTCTACCCCCAGAGTTTTTGATTCAGCAGGTGTAGGGTGAGGGGTCAAGAATGTCCGTTTCCAGCAAGTTCCCAGGTGACGCTGATGCTGCCGGCCCAGAGGCCACACTTTGAGAACTGCTGTATCTATGATACAATAGGTGTCTCCCCCTCTTGGAGGGGAGAGTGGTTATGGGACTCTGGAATCCTCATGAGAATAATTCTTCAGGTGGAGGAGTAGGAAGGATGAGAGGGCTAGAAGAATTCAATAGAGACCTAAGGAGGCTGGTCTTCCATAAGCGACACCATAGAAAAATCCAATAAAGAAAAGAAGTAGCAGGAAAAGATCGGGAAGTCAGCGGGAAGCAGTGAGATGTGAAGGAGAGGATAGAACGCTGTGGTCCAGCCTCGCGTTTCCCTTCAGTTATCAAACAGCAGTATCACAACTTCTGTGTCCCCACACCACCTGCAATATGATTTACTTATGGAGTTTTAAGAAATCGACTTATTTTTCTCACATACAATTTAGTCTTATGCTAAACAAAGATAAAATAATAATAGTAACAGCCAGTACTATACGTGCCTGCTATGCCCCAGGCACCCACTTACATACACACATTTATACATAAATGTACACGTGTATACACACACACACACACGTGTATGCACACCTATACACATTCACTTCAATCCTCACAGCAACCCTATAAGGCAGGTGTGTTATTATTCCCATTCCACAAATGAGGAAACTGAGGGAGGCCTGGAGATGAGTCACCCTGCCCAAGGTTACACAGCTAACAAGTAGCAGAACCAGGACTCCAAGCCACACAGCTGGCTCCAGAGTCCGTGCTCTCAACTCCAGAAACTAGGGCTTTAGTGGGTTAACTATAGGTTAGGTAACTTGCCAAAGAACACACGGCCAGAAATGGGATGGGAACCGAGATTTGAATATAACTTGATGACCCTAAAACTTGAGTGTTTCACTCCTGCATACATCTCCCTATGGGTTATGTGTGGTGATGGCAATGAAGGGGGTGCTGAGCTGGGATGGGCTCTGGAGAGGAGCTTGGAGCTTTGCCTCAATTAGCCCTGGATACAGCTCCCTCCATTGACTTGGACTTGAGATGCCATCTTGTCTTCTCAGTACCCCTTGACCTTTAGTAAAAATGAAGCAGAAGCTGACTTTCACTGGTCCACATCATAAAACAACTGTTTTGGGGTTTGAAATATAAAATTATATCAAATATGCTTTTTCAAAGTGGTTACTCCATCGCGTACCATACCCTCTCTCCCCAAATACCCCTACCGCCCTCCGTTCCTCAGAGACTAAAGGGGATGCGTCAGCCAGGCCTGGGAAACAAACGCTGGCCTATGGAAAAGTCTCTTAATACTCTGCAGGCCAGAGCAGGGCGTGCTTTCAGGACAAGTCTCTGTTGACCTCAGGAAAGCACTGGACAGGGTTGGGGTGTGACATGCAGTGTAGCGTTTCTCATTCTATATCAGCCTAGAGGGTTGTAAAAGGGGGAGGAGGTGAGGCCAGCGACGCCCCGGCTTGGTCCTTCTCTCCCTGCTTATCCAGCCTTAACACCTGGACAGGAGCAGAACAGACCGTCCCCAGGCAACCATGGGTGGAAAGGAGGTAACAGCAGGGGTCTAAGGATCCTGGGAACCACCTGTGGCTTGACTTCTGCTCCAGAATGAGATTCCTCAGTAATATTCGTAGTCAGCAAGGGTGGCAAGAAAAGACTCAAGGAGAAAAGCCACTCTCCTCCTTCCCGCTGTTTCCTTGCCCATGAGTCTGTGTCATTCACTTAAAATCAGAATGTCACAAACATCTGTAGAAAATAACAGTAAAATGATGCAAGTAAAGTTAGTCAAGAGACACAAAGGACAGTATCTCCTCTATGTTCCTACTAGTCTGGAAAGTGGGCCTGTGCAGCAGGCCAGTGAGGCGGGGAGACAGAGGGAGATGGAGGGGTGAATGACAGACGCCAGGTCCCCGTGGGGGTCCCTACATCGTCAGGCCTCCCCAGTGCCTGGGGGCAATCAAAGCCCTGAGAGACAGCAGAGCAAGACACTCTTGTACTCCAATAGGTAACCAGAGGGGCCTTCAAAAACCACACATCAGATCATTTCATTTCTCTGCGGAAAGCCCTTCCACGGGTTCCCATAACTTTGGGGATGAAACCCGAATCCTCCCCTTGCACTACCTGTGAGCCTTCCCTCCCCGCTGTCGCGTCTCCGACCTCATTTCCCATCA